CCCTCGGAGCCCCCTCCTGTTCTCCGGCACCCGACAGCCCCTCCTGCCCCCCGGAGTCTCCCCCAGCATCCCGGCTTGCTCTCCCTACCCCTGCACTCCCCTCCTGCCCCCCGGACCCCCCCCACATCCCTCCTGTCCCCTGCACTCCCCTCCTGCCCCCGGGATCCTCAGCAGCCCCCAAACTCCCCCATCTCCCCCTCCCCAATGCTCGCCCTGCACACCCCAGGGGCAGCAGAGCCGCTCGGACCCTGCGGGTCTTGCCCTGCCCGGCCAGGGAGAAGTTTGGGAAGTGTGGAGGGGATGGCTCTGAAGCCCCGGGTGCTGCCTGGGGCTGTGTGGGGACGCGCTGGTGGCAGGCAGAGCTCCGCACATTCCCTGTTTCATTCGGCTCCCTCTCCAAATCCCGGGAAATCTGTCCTCGCCTCGGAGAGGCGGCTCGGTGTCCCCTCGGCAGCGGTGTTCCACAGCGCTCATGACAGGGAACGTGGCACAGAAAATCCTGCTTCAAAGCAAAAGCTCAAGCGTCTCTAGCAATCCTCCTTTTGGACAAATGAGTGTTCTCTCTCAGTTCATATTTATTTTATGATGAAAAAGTCCCTCCAAACGATGAGTGCTGCTTGCGTGCCATGAATCCGAGAGCTGCCTGTGTCTGAACATAAAAATTGGTGAAAGGCTCCTTTAGAAGAACAGTGGTGAGAATCAGGGGGAAAGACCTTAGATCTAGCAGATAATGCTTCCTAAAAATTATTTTAATGAGGATTTTTTTAATCAAAACTCTTGAAATCATTGACCATATTTTTAAGGCTAAACTTCAGCTGCAATCAACAGAGACTGGGGGGAGGAATATTACTTTTTTACAAGGGAAAAAGAGATGAGTGAAACAGTTTTTATTTATTTGGGAAGATGTGTTTTATTTAGACTTCTCCCTGCAGCGAGGCTGGTTTACACTTGCTGAGGGTCTGGCCCACATATTCCATTCCAAATCCCACCTGCCCCTGGTCCCTGCAAGGATATAACTTGACAGTGTTAAAAACTGCGCACAGCTGTGTACAGGTGAGGGTCCTGCAAGTGGCTTAGCCAGAAAATCGGCTCTTTTAAGTCTTTTGTTAACTAAGGGATGGTTCCCCAGCTGCCCAGCTCTTCTGGCTTCAAGGCAACTTTGCCTGGGCCTTATCTTCACACTAAATTTGGAAATCTGAGTTGGATGTCCATATGTTACTTCTGCTCCAGCTCCAGCCTGCTGCAGGGTTGGATCCTTCACCCTTGGAAATCAGAGCCAGTGTTGCCAGACTTGTCTGGATTCTTCCTGATGTTTTCATTTCTTTGATGCTTGCTTTGCTTTATTTAGATAAGTTCTGGTGAAATGATTCACCTGTGTGTAGAAGTATGAATGGCAGATTGAGTGCTCGGGAAGCTTGACTTCCAGAGCGTTTTAGGGAGTTGATTGACTTCTATAATATGGTAGCTGGTAAAAGATTATACCTTTCAGAGCTGTGTTACCTGAACTTGATCAACATCAGACAAGGGTTTAAATATTGTGAAGTGCATCTCCTGCATCGGGCTCAGCGCTCTCGGTGCTCTAGCAGAATGTGAACACCAGGAGAGGGATGGTCTGGCTTTGTCTCTGGCAGCTGCTGAGGGGTAAAACAGGGGAGGAGGAAAACAGGATGGGGTTGGATATTTCTGTCTGTTTGAGGTCGTGTCAGCTGGAGCGAGGTGTAACATCCAGAGCAATCCTCTGTAGTGGTGGCGAGTGCATTAAACCTCAGTGTGCGTCCTCTGCGAGAGGAGAGCAGCAGATGAGCAGAACTTGGTACAGGGGGCTGGAAAAGCCTCTTGGGCTGGTGTCCCACGGGCAGGGAAGATCAGTCAGGACTTCCCTGCACTTCACCGCGAGCAGGATCGCACTGTAAATTTTACTTCCTCATAAACGCTCACAGAGCAGTGCCGTGTGTGGATGTTATCCCTATGCTCATTTCTCAGCCAGCTTTTACAGAAAATCCTTATGAACTCACTTAGAAAGAACATTTTGAGGGAGGCAGGGCTCATTTAATGTCTTTGGATGATAGGAGGGTTTACAAATTCATGGGAGAGCTGTCACTCTGCTGGGGAAGGGAGGGCTGGCCGTGCACACAGAGCTGTGTGTGCAGCTCCGAGCTGGAATCTGCTCCTGTTTCCAGGCTCTGCCACATCCCTTTAAAGCACAGGCACTGCTGTGATTCTGGGCTCAGCAGTGGCAGTCGCTGAGACAGTTGTTTCTAGCAGCAGTTAAGTGGAAGTGCTTTGAAAACCAGGAGCTGAAATATTCCCATTTTACAGAAACGCTTGTAATGTTTTCAGTGGAACTGATTTTCTTTTTTATTTTTTTCTTTTTTTTTTGTAATTATAGGATTTTTCAGCCTGGCCATATAGAGCTGCCTCTTGCTTTAGGGGCTACCTGGGCTCCAGGTAGGAGCTGGGGCTGGTTTCTGAAAATGACACCCAATATTGTGTGTGCTGATGCTCTCTCATGCGTTGGTGAGGACGGTTTGTTTTGGTCTCGTTGCCAGGGTTGTTTTCTTTTCTCCAGCATTTCTTAAGCGAAATTTAAGAAGTGTTTGCTTTACTTTCAGTATGGGGATTAGTTAGGGAATCTTTGAGCAGGGAATATCAGCTGGTTCTTTCCAAAGCTGAGTGAGTTTTTCTGCAGCAAGAAGGGGTGACACAGAATGTTCTCATTCCGTGGCCATGACCCTGCATCCCCACACTAGAGAACAAAAATAATTCACAGATGTAGCACTGCTCCACGACCCCTGTTTAGCCTCAGCAGCACTGTCTGCTGAGCTGGGAGTGCACAGACTGGAGCCTGGATAGTCAGCAGCTCAGGATTGAAATATCCCAAGTGCATCCCACTGGCCAGCTGAAGCCACTGGGACACAGTGGCAGTGCTGGCCCTGGGGCACTGGTGGGAGCCCAGCTGCTCTCCTGGGAAGCAGCACAGGGATTTTTCCCAGCAAACCAGCTCTGAGTGCTGCTAAAAGGCCTTGTCTGGCCCTGCACGGAGTGTGTGTGAGGGGTGGCAAAGGGAGAAGGGAAACAGGCTCTGTGCTGTGCTTCACTTCACCCTCCTCCCACAGCATCTGTGCTGCTGCAAAGAGGGAAGATATCTGTGCTGCCATTCTCGATAGCCTCTCTGCATCTCCTGCTCTGTGAGTGATAACTGACAGCCTTTATAAACGAACATCCTTTCCCCAGGTAGAGACCACAGCTAAATCCATCCATTCCTGCTCGTTTCTGCTCCGTGGCTCTGAATTCCAGCAGGAATCACCGACAGTGGATCTGTTTGCCCACAGATCCAAGGATCTGCTCTGTGTGAGCCTACCTTGAAACGCAGCAGGGTTTGTGTTCCTGCAGGCTGCAGCTCCCTGCAGCTCTGGGGCCCTGTGCTTGCTGAGGGGTTGCTGGAGGGAGCTGCGTTCAGGTTCTGAGGAGCGCCTTTCTCAGCCCCGCTGTTTGAGACGGGGATCACAGGCAGCTCCTCCAGCTCTGCTCTCTGCTGCCGAGGGCTGCTGGAGCCAAACAATCAGACTCCATCCTTCCCCAGGGCAGGGAGGGAGTGCTGTGAACGCACCTGGCCACAGGGACTCTACAGAAGGTTTTCTTTCTTGGATGCTGTTCCTGCTTTCAGTCTCTTTCCACTGATGTGT